TTTAAAAATAAAAAATAAAAGATACCAAAAAGAAACACAGACAAGTATCGTCCTTTGTGAAATGAGGGTCGCAAAACCTTTGAGAGGCTCGTTTCTGTTCTCTATATTGCCTCAAAATCATGTATATTATGGGTAAGTCTACAACAATAGTGTCATAGTATCAATAAGAATATTTTCTTTTCTTAACAAGGATTAGTATCAGGACCAACTCCAATTGCATCTCGAACCGAACACGGTTTTGGCTCACTTTTACACCAAACAATCAGTGACATCTTTTTGTTTAGAATTATAACTAAGGACTAGTCCAATATTCGAGGCTCCTGTCATTGCTAGAAGAAAGGATCGTCAGATATACACTATACCCCAATGTGAAAAGATTATTCCCTTTTTCGAACCCATGTCTACAGGTCATAATTTAGTCACATTACCGCTATGTCAAGGTTTACCTGTTAGAGTGTTTCTCAATTTTATCATAGTGCTTTATTTGAGGTAGAGAAATCTTTAGTTAAGGTGGAGCTATGAAGAAATCATTGTTCGACGTGGAGCACGTAAGTGAAGACATATTTTGATCACGTGTTGATTATGTATAGAATTGGGGCGTTCAAAGTTTTTAATTTTGGCTAATCTTTGGCTACTGCCAAAGTTGAACCAGATCAAGTGGGCTAAACTGGTTCAACATGCGTGTGTATTTTTTTGGCTTTGGCTACTACCAAAGTTGAACCGGTTCAACTTGGACAGTGAGTTATTGGAACATGCGAGAAATGCTTTCCTAATTAGTTTTGGAAGCCAGAAGACTTGGGGAAAAAGCTGAAGATTTGGGGAAGAAGTTGTATATCGGTTTTGGAGTCAGAGACTAATGTAGTAACTCCTTGTAGGCAAGTTAATCCTTGTCCAACAAGGATTTGGGTTTGAAGACTCTATAAATAGATTTGGTATAAGGTAGAGAAAATTGTAAAGAGAAAAAGAAAGTTGAGATTATGAGAGAAAAAAAAGTGTGTAATCAAGTTTTTTGAAGTAAAGTTAGTCATTCTTCACCCGTGGACTAGGCAATTTACCAAACCACGTAAATCTCATTTTTGCCTGTGTGTGTGAAACTTAAACAGCTAGAATCAGAGCCATGGTGACTACTATTATAGATGGAAAGTATGTAGTCGAGAAGTTTGATGGAAGAAAGAACTTCAGTCTTTGGTAAGTTCAGATGTAGGATTTAATGATTCAGCATGGCCTAGAAGATACTTTAGGTAAGCAGCCAGAAAAGATGAAATATGCAGATTGGGCGAATATCAACTTGAAGTTAATAAGTGCAATTCGATTAACATTGGCCGATGATATTGTGTATGATATGATAAAAGAAGATTTAGCAGCAGACTTGCGGAAGAAGTTGGAGAATCCATATATGGGAAAGAATCTCAGCAACAGGATAGTTTTAAAGCAAGAGTAGTATTCCTTCAGGATAAAAGAAGGGGTAAGCCTTCAAGAACATATTGGTGAGTTCAACAAAATAATTTGTGATTTGTCTAACATTGATGTCAAGTTAAGTGATGAGGAAAAAAAAAATTATTTTGTTAACGCTAGTACGCTCTACCCATAAGCATTTATTCAAAACTTTGCTTTATGGGAGAGATACCATCTCAGTAGAACAAGTTAAGAGTGTTTTGTTCTTTAATGAAAAATTAAATGATAAAGAGAGTCGTGATGCTTAGGCTCAAGTTCTTATTGCTCAAGAAAAGAAGAGATTTGGAGCTTCGAGAAACCTTGTGCCATTGTTAGAGAAAATATGCTACAAGTGTGGAATAAAGGGGCATACTCAATGGTATTGTCCAGAAAGAAAGGAGAGTGCATACGCTATCGTTGTTGTGTCTGAAGATACGAAAGAAGAGAGTGATAATGATGAAACATTATCAATTATTGATAATAAGGGAGAAGCTAAGGAATAGATACTTGATTCTGCTTGTTCCTTTCATCTGTGTCCTCATAAAGGATGATTTGCTACCTACAAACCTGTAGGTGGTAAGGTATTTATGGGGAATAATGCCTCTTGCAATATTATGGGAATTTGAACAATTAAAATCAAGACAACGAATGGTTTGGTAAAAATTCTAACGAATGTACGCCATATTCCAAGTGTTAGAAAGGATGTGATCTCTCTAGAGGCATTGGATTCCAAAGGTTGCTGGTATGAAGTGAAGAATGGATTGATGGAGATTACAAGAAGGCCATGTGTCATGCTTTTGGGAAGGAAGGTCAACAATCTTTATATTCTGTTGGGAAATACCATGCTAGGTGGTGCAATTGCAAAGACGGAATGGAAACCTGTTTTGAGATCTACTAGAATAAAGATTCAAGAACAACAAAAGAATGAAGAAGTCTTGACAATTGTAAAAGTACTAGCCTTTATTCCAAAAGTAAGAAGAGTTCAATTTGGTGATGCAAAAGTAGATTCCAAGTTTAATTATTTGAACTTGGAATTTGCTAAGAATAGATGAGTATGGTGGTGCGGCGAAGAACGACAAGAAGAAGAAGAATGATGTATTTAAGAAAAGGTAGAGATTGTTAGAGTGTTTCTCAAATTGATCATAGTGCTATATTTGACATAGAGAAATCTTTAGTTAAGGTGGAGCTATGAAGAGATCATTATTCGAGGTGGAGTACGTAAGTGAGGACATATTTTGATCACGTGAAGAATTGGGGTGTTCGAAGTTTCCTATTATCAATCATTGATAATAAGGGAGAAGCTAAAGAATGGATACTTGATTCTGCTTGTTCCTTTCATCTATGTCCTCCTAAAGAATGATTTGCTACCTATAAACCTATAGGTGGTAAGGTATTTATGGGGAATAATGCCACTTGCTATATTATGGGAATTGGAACAATTAAAATCAAGACAACAAATGGTTTGGTAGGAACTCTAACGAATGTATGTCATATTCCAAGTGTTAGAAGGGATGTGATATCTCTGGAACCAAAGGTTGTTGGTGTGAAGTGAAGAATGGATTGATGGAGATTAAAAGAGGGCCATGTGTCATGCTTTTAGGAATAAAGGTCAACAATCTTTATATTCTATTGGGAAATACCATACTAAGTGGACCAATTGCAAAGACGGAATAGAAACCTGTTTCAAGATCTACTAAAATAAAGAATCAAGAACAACAAGAGAATGAAGAAGTCTTGACAATTGTACGAGTACTAGCCTTTATCCCAAAAGTAAGATGAGTTTAATTTGGTGATGTGAAAGTAGATTCCAAGTTTAATTATTTGAACTTGGAATTTGCTAAGAATAGATGAGTATGGTGGTGCGGCGAAGGATGATAAAAAGAAGAAGAATGATGAATTTAAGAAAATGTAGAGATTGTTAGAGTGTTTCTCAATTTGATCATAGTGCTATATTTGAGATAGAGAAATCTTTAGTTAAAGTGGAGCTGTGAAGAGATCATTGTTCGAGGTGGAGCACGCAAGTAAGGATATATTTTGATCATGTGTTGATTACTTGAAGAATTGGGGTGTTCAAAGTTTCATATTATCAATCATTGATAATAAGGGAGAAACCAAGGAATGGATACTTGATTCTGTTTGTTCCTTTCATCTGTGTCCTCATAAAGGATAATTTGCTACCTACAAACCTGTAGGTGGTAAGGTATTTATGCGGAATAATGCCTCTTGCGATATTATAGGAATTAGAACAATTAAAATCAAGACAATGAATGGTTTGGTAAGAACTCTAACGAATATATGTATGCCATATTCCAAGTGTTAGAAGGGATGTAATCTCTCTGGGAGTATTGGATTCCAAAGGTTGCTGGTGTGAAGTGAAGAATGGATTGATGGAGATTAAAAGAAAGGTCAACAATTTTTATATTCTGTTGGGAAATACCATACTAAGTGGAGCAATTGCAAAGACGGAATGGAAGCTTGTTTCGAGATCTACTAGAATAAGAATCAAGAACAATAAGAGAATGAAGAAGTCGTGACAATTGTAAGAGTACTAGTCTTTATCTCAAAATTAAGAAGAGTTTAATTTGGTGATGCGAAAGTAGATTCCAAGTTTAATTATTTGAACTTGGAATTTACTAATAATAGATGAGTATGGTGGTGCGGCAAAGAACGACAAGAAGAAGAAGAAAGATGAATTTGAGAAAAGGTAGAGATTGTTAGAGTGTTTCTCAATTTGATTATAGTGCTATATTTGAGATAGAGAAATCTTTAATTAAGGTGGAGTTATGAAGAGATCATTTTTTCTAGGTGGAGCACGTAAGTGAGGACATATTTTGATCACGTGAAGAATTGGGGTGTTCAAAGTTTCCTATTTTTGCTTATCTTTGGCTACTACAAAAGTTGAACCGGTTCAAGTAGGTTAAGCTGGTTCAACATGCGCGTGTAGTTTTTTGGCTTTCACTACTGCCAAAGTTGAACTGGCTCAAATGGGGCTAAACCGGTTCAACTTGGATAGTGAGTTATTGGAAGCTGCGAGAAATAGTTTCTTAATTGGCTTTGGAAGTCAAAAGACTTGGGGAAGAAGTTAAAGATTTGGGGAAGAAGTTGTACATTTATTTTAGAGTTGGAGACTAATATGGTAACTCCTTGTAGACAAGTTAATCCTTGTCCAACAAGGATTTGGGTTTGAAGACTTTATAAATAGATATGAGTATGAGAGAGAGAAAATTGTAGAGAGAAAAAGAGAGTTAAGATTGTGAGAGAGAAAATAGTGAGTAATCAAGTTTTTTTGAAGTAAAGTTAGTCGTTCTTCGCTCATGGACTAAGTAATTTGCCAAATCATGTAAATCTCGTTTTTGCTTGTGTGTAATTTTTTTTCTATTATAATTACCAATTGTATGTGTGAAACTTAAACATTACCCTCAACAAAAATTATAAATATGAGGCCTAAACAATTTTGATGAGAGAAATATTAAGCATAAATTTAAAACTATAGAACGTTTTGATAACACATATATAAACTATATCATGCCATTAATAGTTTAGGTTTTAGGATTAGAAAGACTTACCAACTCGAGCATTAGTGTGATTGAGGGCAATGCGTTTGTAGACATCACGCCAATTAGGCTTGCCGAAATGGGATTTGACTCGGGTACCAGAGACAACATCGACCCCATTCTTGGCATGGTTGAGTGACTGAATCATGGCAATGAGAGCCGAGCGAGCGTCACCTTCTTCGTAGACACTAGTGCAATAATTGTGTATTTCTATCACTCCCTTGTGATCCATTTCAGCTACCTCATTCATCACCCCTTTAAACCAGTCAAATGAGCCTTGTTCCCTTGTAATCCAGTAGAAGTATGCCTTTCTTGTCATAAAATTATTGCCACCACTCCTTGATCCAGCCACTCCATTTATCTCTAAAGCATTATCTTCTTCCATAGCCTTCATGTTGTTCGCAATGTCCTTGACAATACTGATCATTGGTGTTGCCCCGATTCCTAACGCTACTAGCAACACCACTTTGTATTTCTTGTAGTCTTGTGCTGCTGCTCCATATGGACCATCAATCACCACTCTTGGAAAGCTGTCCATCAATCAATCAATAATCATCACCATCATATTTCCTACTTTCAGAAACATTGTTTGATTTGTTTATTATTAAAATATATATAAAGATGGAGAAATGTCTATACAAAACAATCTATAACAATAGATGAAATGACAACATGCACTCTAATCCGTGCCCATTCATATTTAGTGCCGGTAGATGAAAGAATGGGTGCACATGTTTGTTACATTTTCCCACGAGGTTTTCATCTCATGCACCTAGATAGAAATATGCGCCATATATTGGTCAACCACCCACCACCCTTGTGGTTTCATTGACCTAACACATAACCACCATTCTTGAGTGATGCTTCAAATCAGTGTATGGTAACTATAGTTTTGGACAAAAATAACTTTGCTATTGTGAGAAGACCAAATTATCCATTAATTGAATTGAAATTACATCATTAAAAAAGGACAAAAGTATAGAGATTATATTGGGTATTTTTAGATGTAAACCTTAAAATGATCAATTGAAATGTGACAAATAAACATGATCTAAGGTAAATATGATTTATTAAAACCTAAAATGACAAATAAACCATAAAAAATGAGGGGAATATAAGAGGAGGGGTAAAACAGTAAGTTATAATCACCCACTCCCTTCTAGAATTTTCTTTTAAACAATGGTTATGTGCATTAAGGTCATATAGGTAAATTTACCTTCATCTCCAAAGGTCAACTAGTCAATTTAGACTTTGCTATTAGACTTTGCTGTAAATTGGTGCATACTTCTATCTAGGTGCACTAGATGAAAACCATGTGGGTGCTATATGTAATTTGCCCTTTTCCTATCTATGGTTTACTCATATCTGATGACAGTAGTTGTATATATTGGCAATAGCCAAAGTATTGTATGAATGAAAAACTGGGAAATTACTTACTTTGGGGGGTTCTCTCCTTGCAAACAGTCTGCTCTGAGGAGTCCACTTCTCCCTCTAGGTGTTGGCTGGCACACCTAATAAAAAGATGTAGATATAGTACTACAAACAATAATATCAAATCTATTCCATATACATTAATAATTTCCTAGAATATTTTTTCGTGTGAACGTAATGATTTTCGAGTGTTGCTTGTAACTAGTTCTAAGTATTGTGAAATATATATTTTGTAATTAGCTAATTTTGATTTCAAAACAAGTCCGATCGAGTTATATTTTCAAGTTTAAAATTTAAGATCGAGATCAGTTGCGGGATTGAAGAATTATTCATATTCGATAGCTTGAAATCTATGAAAAGGTAAGAACAACACTTTAGGAAATTAAGTTAAGAGGTTTAGGACACTTGCATGCATGAGTTGTTTTTCAAAACTGCAAAATTTTCAAAGTATCAACCTTCTGTTCAAGTCTGGCCACCTTGAACCGGTTCCATGTAGCTAAACCAGTTCAAGATTCAATACTTTCAATTTTTCAACACTGACCAACTTGAACCAGTTCAACCTTTCTAAACCGGTTCAAGGTCTTTAAACAATTTTGGTAACTTAGTTCCTATTTGGTGTAGACTTCTTTCCATTATACCTATGCACAAATTTAACTTCTTTTTCAGGCATATCTAGGTTTTTGAAAGTCTATATAAACATGTTTTCTTATCTAGATTTGTGTGACTTTTTGCATTAAACTTCTAATTTATTTAAAAGCCTTTCTATGAGATTTTTAAAAGCATACACACTATAATATACACACAAGTGGATTTAGGGTGTTGTTCAAATCCTGGTCATGTTCAAGTCTATTTAATATTGCATCTACAACGATCAAAGAAAGCAGATCTATTCATTTTTTGTTAAATTCAAAATTGAAGAAAAATGGGTGAAGCGATCACACTTTAAAGAGATCAAAGCATTCGTAGAGTGTTGTTTGATCTACCAGCAATCGTTCTATAGAGATCAAAATAGAGTAAGCCTGGGGTCGAGATCTATTGGATGGGAAGTCAAAAAGCAAAAGATTGTCAGCAATTGGTTTTTGGTAGAACGATAGAGTGTAAGTGTGAGCGTGAGTCAAAGTTCATTGTACTTTGTTTCAAACATAGTGGATCGTTTTGCTCTGAACTGCATAGTCCACCAGGTTTTTTTCACAACGATTGGTCTCTTCTGCCAATCAAATCCTGGTGTCTTTTATTTTGCATGTGAAGATGTGATTGTTTAATTATTTGCTAATTTAAGTAAAACTAATTGAATAGAGAAACACATAATTAAATCTCTCTATATAAAAACTTAAACTTTTTATAATTTATTCCGCTGCACAACTCACAAGAATCACAAATGATTCCTTAACTTGTTACATATTTTATTATGAATTGAATAATTATGGAAGGAGACCACATGTATGATATATTTATTTTACATCATCTGATTGTAGAATTTGTTGGGTTGATGGGTTTTCACACCGTGTCAGCAAACATACATACATATATATATATATATATATATATATATATATATTTTGAGAATCCATGATTTTATAATTCTGTTTAACATTGTGGAACCAAACGTGTCACCCCTTCCTTCCCAAAGGGGAGGTCAAGGGTTTGAACCACGATGGAGGTAAGGTGTATGCATAATTGTTTTAATTTCAAAAAAAATTAAAAAAAAATAAAAATAAAGATTGTGGAAGTAAATATTAAAATGTTGTTCAGGATCAAAATTACTTGATCAGATTGAACATGACATGATTTTACCATAAACTATAAGATGAGCTACTGTCTACTGATGCTAAGCTCCTCAATTATTATTAGGGCACTGCCATTATTAATACCCTGCAGGGGAAGCAACATTGCCATACGGAGGAAACACGCCCACAAACAAAAAAAAAACATACCTCAGAGAACACAGTTTTGAGTTGTCGGGTCCAGTCACCAAGAGTTCGGATATGAACACTCAGATAGTCATCTCTAGGGGCTGAAGTAATGTAGAATGGGTGCCTGTTAATAACTAACACCAGAAATTAGCGAACTAAGCAATAAAAAGTTGACGACTTCATAATGATAAAATGTTTTTTTTTTTTTTTTTTATTTATTTGTTATTTCAAAGAAAATAAGTCTTTAACAATATACATATTGAGTTGGTACACCTGTGACATGGCGCGTCGGGAGTATCTAATATATATTTACTCCCTCTCTACCTTCCAAAGTTGATGATGAGAGTTCGAATATCCAAGAGAGAGAATTCAGGAATATATATATATATATATATATATATATATATATATATATATCCAAGAGAGCAAAATGGGTGTCCAATTATGTGTGAATTTTTTGTCAATAAAAATGTAGTATTTGGGAAGACCACCAACCACTCAAATGGAGAAACAGCAGCACAGTTGACGAACATGTATTGCCCACTTTTGTATTTGAAGCCCTGAGGCTTTGACATGTGAATTGCCAAAACATTTCCAGGGTAAATAGCCACCTTCATAGTTCAATGTGAAAATAAATTCAGGCATATACATATGCATAAATATATTTATATATATACACAAATGAACAAAGACGACTAAATCGTATACCTTTAGGATCTTGACAGGCTTGATACTAGATCTAAATGCTCTAATGAATCTTTCACCGCCATATAGCATAGTTGGAACTGCCAAGTACATCCAGGTCTGCCAATGCCAAGGGCGGTGTAGATTAGAGTTTCATATCATCATAAGAACAAATATAAGTATGGATTGAGATGGAAGATGACGAGACACTAACCGTTTTCTTGTACCATTCATGGGTCAAGTAAAGCTTGATGCCATGCACAATGAGAAGAGTGTACACGATAACGAAGAGGTGGTGTGAATACCAGAAAGCGTTGAAGCCGGTGAGCTTTCTGAGAAGTCTGGGCGGATAGAGCCTTCCTCGCCTCAACCATGGTGACGCAAGTGCAAAGGCTATGGCCATCAACACTACCATCACAATCCCTGTCACTCCCTCCACTCCCTTTAGGAAATGCCAATAACTTGAAGGCTGGTCCCCAAAATATTTCTCCATCAGCTCATCATATTTCTCATGATCTTCGTTAATAAGGCGAGGAAAATCACATGCTAAATGATAAATCGCATGTATCCCTACCCCAATTGCAATTGCCACTGCTATTACCTAAAAGAAAAACCTCCATTTTCAGCAACAACCCTTTACAAATTAATTGAATATAGATACATAAATATCAAGGTCATAGGATTCAAATTACTTGGTGGAAATTAAGGTTGTCATCAAATGGAACAGCGACCCCTAGGTTGGTCTTGTTTCTTAGCCAGGTGATGGTGTTACGGCAGACAGGTAGTAAAATCAGAGCCATGTTCAACTTCAGGGTTTCGGCAGCACCTTTTGCCATACAAACACAATGACCCATTACCTCATATGCTGCTCTATTTCGATACTGCACAAACTTGTATGCAAATAGCCCCAACATAACCCCAATCCAGAGTGCTATCACCCAAGCCCTCTGCCAGTTATCCTGCAAGAAATACTTGAAGTCCTGATACCTTCTCGTTAATGGGTTGTTCTCTCGAGTAGGCTTAAGCTTCTGACTCAGAATTTGGTTTAAGTTCTGGCTTTCGCCTCTTGCAGAATGGTTTGGAGCTTGCAACAATAGCATCTCCAAGTTTTTTATCTGTGACAACATTTTAAGAGATGACATTCATAAAAAACAGATTGATTCCTAATTCAATCGGTGAAATTGATACTATATATATATACTCCTATATAATATTTTGCTTAATGTTGTGTACCATGATGTATCCATGATTCTCTGGATCTAACTCTTCCATGATCAAGGCTGCATATTCACCAGCCTGCTTCTGGATATTTGTGAACTTGTTGGAAGAAGCACTAAGGCTGATAATCTGCATATATATTCTGTCAGTTAGACTTAGATATAGATTGAGAAAAGATGCGAATTTGATAAAAGCATTCAAGTTCTTGATGAAGGCGGGAGACCAAACTACTTTATTTTTCTTTTTGCATGCACAAACGTAATCTGTGTCTTTGGACTCAGGACTCATTAATTAAGTTGGAAGTTCAATATATAAATACAATCATATATATATATAACCGTGCCTCTCTGACTTCTTCTTCAGTGATTCTGCCATCCGCATCTTTATCAACCCTGAAATAATTTACCAACTAGTTACATTTCATTCTCAACCAAACAAGTATATATATACATGAAATGATTCATAGAAACTATACATGTCGAAGAAGGTTTGAAGCCTAGAGTCAAAGTTCTGATCTGTGATTTGGTCCCAGAAGTCTTTTAAGTGTGCCTTGTTGACAGAATCTCCCACTATTTTCCGCCTCCGGACAAGTGCATCAAAGAGCTCACCTGCAAGCTCTCTCGACTCCTTCGTCATACCTGCAATTAGTAGTTATTGCAATCTATTCAAAACACTTAAATATATTAAACTAACTCAAGCAGGAAGCTAGCTTGAGTACAACAAAAAATCTTCTAAAAGAAAAGTAAAAAAAAAGTAGCAAGTTGTGATATTGGATTTGTGATTTACCTATGCATTCGCAGAAGAGAGAACGAGGAAGCAAGCCATCGGTGGAAGAAGCGGTGAGTTCATTGAAACGCTTCTCCACCACGGCCCATCCAGCGCCACCATCGGTCTTGCTGATGAACTTGAGCCCCTTTAAAGCATGAGCAGCAGCCGATTTTGTCCTGTCAAAGCGACTCGCATGGGCTCGTTTGGAAAACAAAGCCAACCGCTTGAGCTCTTGAGACACCTGCCTTCGTTGTGAGGAACCAAAAGAAGACATCTTCTCCAGGCCTTTTGCCAGCAAAGACAGCTCAGGATCTTCAACATCGGCTTCAGTGGTGGTCTTGGCGGCAGAGTCATCATCTACGACTTCGATGTTGATCTCCGGATAGGTGTCGTCATCAGAGCCAAAGCTTCCACCAGCGGCCCTATTGGTGGTGGAGGGTTCGGAGATGTCAATCCCCAAATGGTTTGGAGGTTGGAACAATAGCATCTCCAACTTTTCTATCTGTGACAACATTTTAAGAGATTGACATTCATAAAAACAGATTGATTCCTAATTCAATCAGTGAAATTGGTACTATATATATACCACTTATGTTTCTTAATGTTGTGTACCATGATGTATCCATGATTCTCTGGATCTAACTCTTCCATGATCAAGGACGCATATTCCTCGGCCTGTTTCTGGATATTCGCGAGCTTGTTAGCAGAAGCACTAAGGATGATAATCTGCATAATTTGACAAAAATCACACGAGTTCTTAATGAAGGCCGGAGACTGCAAAATATTCTCTAGATCTAACGCTTCCATCATCTTTTAACTCAATTAGCTGTCGTAATATGATTATACCTCTTTAACATCTTCTTTACTGATTCTGCCATCTGCATCTTTATCAATCCTGCAACAATTTGCCAACTCTGCTAGTAAGATTTCAATATCGATAAAACAAGTAGATATATATATATATATATATGATGATAACAAAGGAAATGGTTAGACACTAATCGATGGAGTACGTTTCTAGTTTCTTACATGTCGAAGAAAGTATTAAGCCTAGAGTCGAAGCTCTGATCTGAGATTTCATCCCAAAACTCTTTTAGCTGTGCCTTGTTGATCGAATCACCTTTTATGTTCCGCCTCCTGGCAAGCGCATCGAAGAGCTCGCCTGCAAACTCTTTCGATTGCCCATACATCCCTGCCATTAATTAGATATTCGAATCTATTCAGAACGTACACTTTTAAATTATGCTAATGATGGTAAGAATTTGTGGTTTACCTATGCAATGGCAGAAGAGAGAACGAGGAAGCAAGCCATCGGTAGAAGAGGCCGTGAGTTCATTGAACCGCTTCTCCACCACGGCCCATCCACCGTCACCATCGCTCTTGCTGATGAACTTTAGCCCCATTAAAGCACGAATTGCAGCAGACTTATTCGTATCCATTTCCTGCATTAGACAAAAATAATAATAATAACAATCTTCACAAAATATTTAGAAAAAAATGTTGTGTATGAGCAGTTTTTACATACAATTGCAACCTTCTACACAATTATCTACGAAAAACAGTTTTAAAAGACAAATCCAGCCACCTGCGGATCAATAGCGCTCCGTGTGTTTTTTGAAGCCTTCATAATCACTGTATATAAAGTTTCACTCTCTCTATGCGTACGTTGTATTACAACACACTACTAATTATTTGAACCAAATATTAGAAGTATAGAGAGATTTCTCAACTTGACATAAAACACACAAGTTCTTAATAAAAAAAACGCAAATATATATATATATATATATTTTTTGGGTGTTGGTATGTTTGAAAAGTTTTCTAATCAATTAATTGTATTGGTGCAGTATTTTGCTCAATACGGTTGTTTGTGTATTTTGTTTGATTTCTTCATGTCTCAAAGAGTCCAAGACACCTCTCTTCTTGTAAATTGTGCATAGTTTTCCTTTATTTTTATAATCTATTTGAACTACCCATGGGCTGACTTTTCCTCCTTAAAAAGAGAGAGTATCAAAGGTTAAAAAAAGAAAAAGAAAAAAAAAGATACAGTGCTTTAGATAAATAAAAGCAACAATGTTTAGAAAACAGTGCTTTAGATAAATAAATAGAAAATGTAATAGAAAAGGCTTAGGAAGACATGAGATCTATGAAGCACTTACTATGATACGGTTATGGACACGGCGATTCATTAAATTTAAAATAATAATAATAATTAATAAATAAATAAAAACATGGAGACAGCAAATATATGGCAATAAAATAATGATATAATTTATAATTATATAAAAAATTATTTTTTTCTTAATCTTTTCATCTATATTCATAAATATAATATATTTAAATTAGGTCCACAATACATCTCATATTTCTTTTAAAAAATATTAAGGTCCACCTACCAAAATTTTATTAAAACATAATATATAAAAAATCTTATATTCTAAAATTATATATACCAAAATTTTATTAAAACATAATATATAAAAAATCTTATATTCTAAAATTATATATAGAGTTAGTCATGTTTTATTTTTGAGCTTAAATTATAAAACTCCTACTATTTTTAATTTTTTATCATAAAATCTCAACTTGTTTGTAAAAATTTCAACATTTTTACAAAGTTATCACATTATCTCAATATTGTGGAATTCGACCGGTTAACGGGAATGTGAAATAACAAACTTAACCTTGTCATTTAATGTTAAATTAAAAATAAAAAATTATTATTTTTTAAATTACAAAAATACCCTCTCTTTATAAAAATTGATCCCTTTTACCTTAGAAAAGCAGATGCACTATTTCAGTAGTTCCTTCACCTAGGAGTCTTGATCTCAGTTTCTGAGAGATTATTGGCATTGGCAAGAGCTTTTCTTTGAAAATCTCATATAGAGGATCAAAAAAGAGAAAAAGAAGCGACGCAAAGGGAGAAACCACACAGCTGACTAATCTGACCTAAAGGAAGAAGGCTACAACCATCAACATCACTTTACAGCAGCTACGCGGCGAGAAAGAAGAGAAAAGCAGTTGAGAATTAGCATAAGAAAATATGAACTGAAACCACAGAAGAAGCACCTTCACCCATGAACAAGCATAGTGGATTTGTGATTTGTGGGTATATTAACAGGTAGAACTCCGAAGATCTTTACTTATTCTTATCAGATATCCTGTTTTGGGTCTGCAATTTTTCGATCTGTATCCACTGGGATTCTGGATTAGCCTATTCAATTGGAGGCTATTTGGTACATTTCCATCGTAAAGATCAAATTTGGCAATCAAAGTATTCTGGGTATTCTTTATTTCTGTCTTTTTAATTGATTTTGGTTTGTTAAGCTCTAATTCTGCTGATGGTTTTGGTTTTGCATCCATGAATTTTGTGTTTGTTTGGTCTTAATTTCGATTCTGATAATTTGTCTTTTGTTTTTACCTCCCAAATTCTTGTGGGCGTCTTGTTCCCTGTCTGAACAGTGAAATGTTTATCTATATGCATTTGTATGTGTAACTATATTTGTGATGTGGGTTCAATGTGAATGAATGAATGTGGTGTGGGTTTGTGCTTTTCAGGAAGATCACAGTTGAGGCACTTTAGAGAAAGAGTAGACAGTGGACAGATATGGCTAATAATGCAGCAGCTTGTGCTGGAAGGGCGACAAGTGACATGCTGATCGGTCCAGACTGGGCAATAAATTTCGAGTTCAACCTGTTAATATACCCACAAAAGACTCCGGCAACAAGGTTGTCGGCAAGGAAGAACAGTAAAAATAAAAAATAAAAAAAAAGGTATTTTTGTAATTTAAAAAATAATAATTTTTATATTTTAATTTAATATTAAATAAGAAGGTTAAATTTATTATTTTACCGATTAACGGGTCAGACTCCAATATGGAGGCAATGTAAAAACTTTATAATAGGGTTAAAGTTTTTAAAAACTGATTGACATTTTATGATAAAAAATTAAAAGTATTGGGTGTTTTGTGATTTAAGTCCTTTATTATCATTTTTTTTTTTTTTAAGTTTAAATAAGGACTCCTACATTGGTTAACGTATGGTGAGGGCCCAAACTATTAACAGCCCAAAGAAAGTACCAATGGACTCAATAGAACCAAACTTATTAAAGACTTTTTGGGTCACAAGACTTATTTGGATTGGCTTTTTAAATGCTGTTTTTGACTTTTTGAACTAAGAAGTTATTTTGAGCGGTATTTGGTAAATTTTTTAGAAGAGCTTTGAGTCCTTGAAAGAGCGTTTTAAAGAAGCTAGGGACCCCAGCTTTTTCAAAACGTTCTTTTGAAACAATACAGGAAGAATTTTGATATTTTAATGAAACTTTTTAAATGACAAGCGTATCCTTTTTGTTATCTAACAAAGAAATATGATTCCAAGCGTATCCCAATAAAACTCCCTTTATTTTTCTTTCCAAACCCTAGTTTATAGATCTCACCTATGTAATCTTGCATCTCCTCTTTCAAAAAGAAAAAAAAAATATATATATATATATATATATATATATATATATCACTACATATCCCCTTTATACTCAAAAGACTGATCTAATAGAGCATTCAACGGAGGAAAACTAAAAGAAGATTCTTGTTTGGCATCTCTTCTTTGTTATTCAAGCTCCAATAGATCATTAAATTGCAGAATCCTAAGTAAGCCACTAAAGGATGAGAACAATATATATATGTTGCAATATATATATTATTATTATTATTTTTTTTTTTTTTAATTTTTTTTTTTTTTTGTGTGCCTATTCTCAAATTCAATATCATCAATCATATGATTTTTTCCTTTAATCCATCATATGATTTTTTCCTTTAATTTTATTTGGTCTCAGTTTTGCTTGAGTTTTGTGTAATGTTTCCGTTTTCACCATTTTTCATTTTTTGGAATTTGCTATTTTTGCAAGGGCTTTTTTGTCTTTTTCCGTGTTGCGTGTCAAATATTGTGGACTGTACCGGGTGTGTCCGAGAGTTGTTTGGGACATTTCCTTGAGTTAAGGACTCTTGAAATACACCGGTTGCCATTTCGACATTTTTTTATTTTTCGGGTCAGATTGTCCGGTGTGGGACTCGTTACCGAAATTGTTGCGTACGGGAGTTTTATTTAGGTCCAGTTGTATTTCATTCATTTTATTCTATATGCTTTATGTGGTATTTATATGGTTAGTGTGTGTGTGTGTGTATATATATATATATATATATTATGGTGGGAAATAAAAGTTAAAAAGAAAAAAAAAAAAAAAAATTCTTTAGTGGTGGGACCCACCACTATTAAATTTGTGGCCAAGAGGCCAACTTTTACCTCACATTTTCTCTCCCTCATTCTCTGCCCCGCAGCACTCTCTCCTCCTTCTTTCTTCTTCTTCTTCTTCTTCTTTTTTTTTTTTTTTTTCTTTTTTTTTCTTAACCCTTCAAAGCTTGATTAATCTTCAACCATTGGGAGTTTTTGGATGCCGTTTGCGGCAAATCGAAGAGCTCATCGAGACCGTCACGTTGATGTAAATAATTTCATCTTTGGCCACCTTTGGGAATTTTGAGTTTAAGGATTCAAATTGGTGTTTTTTCATCATTTTGAGGTAGGGGTGTTCAATTTACAATCTCTTGAATTTTAGTAAATTATTCTCTCATAATTTGTGCTATAACATGTTTAATTTGTGTATATTTCATGAAATATTTACTATATGTTGTATATGAGATGTGATTATATGTTAGTTGGTATGTAATGAAAAACCATGTTTATGTGATGATAATTTCATGCCAATTGTATTATAAGTGCTGAATTTTGTGACTTAGAAGCATGATATATATTTCTATGAATTTTCTATAAGGCATGTATGGTGTAAATATTTGATTTGAAAGGAATAAATTTATCTATTGGCATGGCATTGAAATGTATGAAAACGCTCATGCACTCATTGGGAAAGAAATGAGGAATGATGTTTGAAAAAAAAAAGGTTTTTGGGGAAAATTTTTGATGAAAGGTTTGCGAAAACGCGAGTGCCTAGGAGTTGCCTATGGGTCCATGGCGTTAATGTGACGTAGAGGGAACCAGAGAGACTACCTTAGCGTGGTTGAGTTAACTGGGCCCCAAATGACACCTTGGAGTTGCCTTGTGGTCAGGGACAGTTAGCCAATCTTTCTCTTGTGCCGTCACAGAGCTGCCATGGGACGGGTTGTATTAACGGTTTGGAAAAAAAATGATGACGGAAAATGTTTTGAAAATGGGAAACGACATTGCATGACACTGCATCCCATAGCACGGCATATTTCATTTATGACTTGGATTATTAATGTTGCTATTGTGGTTATGTTTTCCAGGAAGTGGTATGATCCTCATTTCTTTATTCATATTCCTTCTTTAGATTCATGGGGTCACAAGAGGTATGTCTTAGGCACCTCCTACAAAGCTTTATGCTCACCCCTTATTTTTAACATTTTCAGGTCATGGAAAAAAGGTGGCGGACGACGACCCACCATAAGTTTAGACGAGAATTGGAGATCTACTTATTTTGCTAACTTTTGTATTAGAATTTTAATATTTTGTAAATGTAATCTTAACTATTTTGTGAAACTTTAGTTTAATTAGTGTAATATTGTAAGTTATGGACTTTTAAATTTTAACTATATTTCATGGACTGTAACTTTATGTAATTAAAGTACATTTCTTATAAAGGATTATGGGATTAGGTAGTGAACTAGTGATTCCTTATTTAGATAAGATGGAGGAACGGGACCTTTTTATATGTATGAAATCATTTGAAAATGTGGTATATTATTTGCATTGTGCATTGGGATGGGATATGTAATGACTCGGTCATTTACTCCCTTTTTCATTTTCGGCAATTTTATTTTATTTTATTTTTTTTTCGTTTTCATCTTTTTCCTAAGTTTGGTTTCCTAGGCGTAACCTCACTTTTTAAGCTCGGATTTTT